TACCATCCTTCCCAAGTAAATTCTTAGCAAGGTGCCGAGTGCACCAATGGTGGTGCAAAGGTGCATACCCCGGAATCTGCTCCTATACGGCATTGAGTATGCCCTGGTGTCTATCAGATATGACACCAACCTCTCTACCAGGTCCAATGACATGTATCCGAACAAGCCACAAGAACCATCCCTAGCTATTTTTGTTCTCCCTCTCCACCAAAGCAAAAGCCAAAGGAACCAATGCATTGTCTACGTCACAGGAAATGGCTACCAATAGTGTGCCCATGTACTTGCCAAGCAAAAAAGTACCATCCATAGATAACACTAGACGACAGTGCCTGAAGGCCTCAACGCACTAGGGAAAGCATCAGAATGCATGAAAGAATATCTGCCTCTCGTCCTTCCATTCATTCGGCTTCGGGATGTACTCGTAATGCATGCCTGGATTAGCTGCTTTCATTGCATTGAACATTGCTGGCAACTGCTCGTACCCCTCCTCCCAATCCCCATATATCATCTTCCAGCCCTGTTGTTTTGCCCTCCATGCTTTCCCATATTTTATCTCATAATGAAATATTTTCTGAGTCATCTCCATAATTGTCCCGACTTTCAAGTTGGGCTGACCCTTCAATATTGAGTACAGACTTCTAGCAATGAGGATAGAGGTCAACTTTCGATGCTTCTATTTTATATATTTCTCGGCACATGTGTGTGGACTAACAATTTTGGTGATCTTGAACTTCCTTGTGGACTTCTGTTTCCGAGCACAGACTTTCCAATTGCAATCATCCTACTCGCACACCACTGTGTAATGACGCTCCACATAGGAGTGCCTCATCTTGAATGGACTTTTACGTCTCACAGAATATTCCTGTAAGCACCTTCTCAATGTGTGCAAGTCCTTAAAGACCATGCCCTTCTTAATTTCCACACTGTCACCGGTCTCAGGAGCCTCTAGCAGCTCATTGTCTCTTCCTTCTCCATAACCAAATTGAGAATGACTAAGGTCACTGAATTCATGAGCTAGTGGATCACGATCAGGACACAAACATCTGATGAGCTCCATTTCTTGTTCACTCAAACCTGTAACTAGGCGGTCATCATCAGAATCAACGGCTTTTGCTGTGCCATAAGGCTCCTCATCATCCACAATATTAACATCCACACTGTTAGAGGCTATAAACCCTGTGTCCACATTGGTTGATGGAGGCACATGAGGACAACCATCATTATCAGGACTGTCTCCTGCATTTAAAGCACAAATATGGATAGAATTGAGACAAAAAAAACGGAATGAAGAATAAGAAAGCCAAAGTGTTACTACGTCACTTACTTGAATGATTCTGGGTCAAAGGGATCTCGTGAGGGGCAGCAACAACATCATCGCCACATATTCCAACCTCATTCGGGGCGGATTGAGCATCGGGCACCATAACCACATCTTCCACATCCACCTTGTGGTTGGGTAACGGAGGGTCAAAAGGTGCTGGATTCTCCAGTTCTGGCGAGAACCCACGAGGGGGTGAATGCCCATTAGGGGGTGAATACCCATGAGGGGTGGGATCATTGGACAACTTCCGTACAACCAAATTCAAACATTGAAACTCATTTTTTATGACAGTTTTGACATATTTGTCCCATTGAGCCTCTGATGCAATTGAGACCAACTGCCTAAAAATTGTCCCTGACTTGCCATGGTGAAGTACCCCCTCAACTAAGATGGCATCTTCATTTGAATTGCATTTAAGCTCGTCACGAGCCCTACCAAACAACTAACAAAACAATGGCCGATCATCGAATATCACTGGTACCCTTTGCATTCCAACAAAACTGACATTTCTAAACTCATCTTCCTCCACACTTCCTCCATGATACAGGGTGACTACGTTGTCTATCTAGTTGGTATGCACAACACACAAGTTACTAAGGATATAACTAATACGAGGATAACTAAATTACATACATAAATTAGTATATAAGTGTGTACCTAAATAAATAAGAACCTAACTACCTAACTATCTATCTAACTATATAACTAAATTTGCTAACTACATTTACTACAAGTACTACCTATCTAACTAAATTACACAACTAAATTGTCACCTAAACTAAATAAATTACCTAACTAAATTACATCACTAAAAATAACTAAATTAGCTAGAAAAATTATCTCACTATATAACTAAATTAAATAACTAGCTATATTATCTAAACTATGACAACTAAAAACGAAATTACTTACATAAAAAAACCTGTGCAGCTGCTCACTGCCGGGCGAGGGGATGGGGGGAGGGGCGCGACGACGGCTCCTCCTGGGCGGCCAGCGGGGGAGGGGGCGGCGACGCCAGGCACAGGGGTCGGCGGCCGGCAGGTACGCCGGGGAGAGGCGGGAGCCGCCCTCGCCGCCGGTGTGCGCGGAGGAGGAGGATGGGGCGACGAGGGCGGCCGGGGGAGCGATGGACGGGGAGGGGCGCAGTAGATGGCGCGGCCGGTGGCACGGACGCCGGTGGCGCGGACGGCGAGGGGAGGAGGCGCTGGCGAGAGAGGTGGTGCGGCCGGCAGCGGGAGAGGGCGGTGGCGCATGCGCCGACGGTGGAACACAGCGATAGAATGAGAGGGAGCGAGTGGGAAAGGAAGGAACCTGGATGTTTTCATTTAATAGCTCGGCGCCGAGATCTGTGGCGCCACGTAAGCGCCAGATCATCTTCCACGCAAATGAGGACCACGCACCTCGGCGCCGTGAGTCGTGGCGCCGACAAGTGTTACCTCGGCGCCGTGAATCTAGGCCCAAAGTTGAGTTTAGGTCACCCAGGTGTCTAAACATGAATTTTCTTAAAAAATGGCTAAATTGAAAAAAAAGGGGAATTGGAGCGCAGCCAATGGCTTTAGCAACGGTGCGTAGAGTATCCTTTTCATGCCGATACTCTTGGTCATGGAGCACCGGTGAATTTTCAACACACTGGATAAAAATCTTCTAGGACTGTTGTAGGAGTATAATAACCTGTTGAACGTTCTCGTTGGACTTTCAACGGAATCAGCAACCAACAAGCCAAGCCATGGTAAGCAGAACAGGACAGGACCGATCCTAATTTAAATGATTCCGGGCAGAGATGCATCAGAGATAAATAAAGAAAGATCACCATCCAATGGAAAATAAAATCGGCGACAAATGAGCTTGCATCCTTCGGTGATTCAGCGCAGTTCAGGCTCGCTTCTACAATCTAGTCCCTGAACAGACCAGTACTTGCGAAAGGAAGGTGCTTTCCCAGATTGTTTGTTTCAACACCTTTGCATGATGGGTCATATTGTTCGAATCGGAAAAGAAAAAGAAAAAAAAATCCTTCAATCAAACTAAACTTTAATTAACGCACCGTAGCATCTTCAGTACCGACCAAGCAGTGACATACTGACATGCTGCCAAGCTTCTTCCCACCAGTCTAGACCCCAACGGCCCAGCAGCCAGCACTTCCCTCGACCACGCCCCCGAGCGGCCGAGTCGAGCGCCATCGATTCCCCTCAGGCTGGGCATTCGGTTTAAACCGATAATTCGGTTTGGTTATTCGGTCTGGGAAAACTTCGGTTTTGGAGAAGGTCACAACCGATCGGTTGCAGAGAAAATGAGAAACCGACGATCTCGGTTTCGGTTTCATCGGTTCGGTGGTCGGTTTCAACCGAGATTTGCCTGTCTCGTACCTGCGTGGGATCTTGTCCGCCTGCTGCCCTGCTTCTGCGGCATCGCCCGGTAGTCCCCTGCGGCTGCGCCATCCCCGACCGCCCCCAGCCGCCGCTCGCAGCGCGGTCGCCGCGCCAGCGCCGCCACGCATGGCTGGCCGGTCGCGCCGCCCTGCTCACTGCTCACACGCGCGGCGCCGGAGCCCCACTCGCCTGCACTGCCCTGCCGCCCCGCTCGCTACTCGCCCACGCGGCCGGGACGCGCAGCCCCACCTCGCCTCCCTGCCATACTCGCGACACCTCGCACCCATGCCCGTCGCCGCCGCGCCTCGACGCCTCGCAGTGCGCCAGTGGCCCAGTACCGCCGCCGCTGGCTTGTTGCCCGTCGAGACTCATGTGTGGTGTGGATAGGGTTTCACTGTTTTAGGCTGATGTGTGGTGTGTTCACCGTTGGGCCTTTGGTTTGGGCTGCTGGTAGCCTGCTATGCGGACGCCTCAGCCTGTGATTTGGAGTCCTGGCGATTGCAGTTCGGTTGATTTCGAGTGTTCGGTTCGGTGAACATCAGAACCGAAGTCGACCACCGAAGCCGAAGTTCCCCAGCACAGAAACCGAAACCGAAACCGAACCGAACAACCGAAAAAACCGATATTTCGGTGCGGTTCGGGTCGGTTCGGTTTGGTTTTCGGGTTTCGGCTAAAATGTGCCCAGGCTGAGATTCCCCAAAGGCCGAAGGCGTTGGTCTGTTGGAAAACCTAGCCACCACTCGACATTCGTGACCACCGCCCGCCACCTCGCCCCCGCCCGGCGTGCGTGGTCGAGAGAGAGCGATTGCCCGACACTGCGGCCTGCGGCGCTGCCTGTTCCACCTAGCCGCTCGGCACTAGTGGCCGCCGACGGCCACCGCGCCCCCGCCGCCGCCCCCGCCCGGCGTGCGAGGTCAAGAGAGAGCGACTGCCCGACACTGAGGCCTGCGGCGCTGCCCGACACCGCCGCCGCCCTGCCCCGCCCCCGCCCCCCCGCCCCGCCCGCGTGGAAGCCACGCTACTGTACCTGAATACGTACGCCGCGCGGAAGAGCGTTGGATGTAAGCTACGCTGCTACACTGTTTCGTATAAAAGCCGCGGCGCATCAGGGGCCAACCCTTCATTGAGACAAAACACGGAATCGTGTATCGCATCGCCAGGCAGATCCCCTTCTCCTCGCCGAGAGAGAGAGAGAGAGAGAAGTCGCAGACCCAGAACCAGACCACACCGCGCCGCCGCCGCCGCCTCCACCTCCGGTGATCGAGTCGCGTAGACACTACCTTCACGCTAGAAGACAATAAGCATCGGCAGCCATGTTCGGCTCCACCAACCGTAAGCACTCACCCCCTAATCCCCTCCTATTCTCGTCGATTCCATCACATTGGATTCCATGACCTTGCTTTTAAATCCTCGATTCCGCTCTCGTATGTATGTATTGCTACTGTTGCGCTTGCTTCCCGTTCGATTGATTATTCGATTTCATATATTTCGATGGATTGTCCATATGCCTCCGCACACTAGGGTTTCGTCAATCAAATAGGCTACTTGCAGTCTCAACTTCAAGGATCCGTGGAACACCTAACCAAAAATAAAACAGAAGAATGCTTCAGTGCTCATCGTTTTCATTTATATTTGTATAATATATGATAGCTGGTACAATGCAATACCTGATTACGATTGTACAGTTCAAGTTTCCCTTGCTGCAAGCCCTTACATGTCTCCATAGAAAGTATACTTTCTTTTTCTTCTTGTTTTTTTTTTTTGCAATGTTGATTATCTTCTCACCTCTCGTGTATGCTATCTTCATTGCAGCATTCGGGCAGTCGTCCACCAGCCCATTTGGCCAGACCTCATTTGGAACTCCGCAGGGATTCGGCCAGTCTTCCACTGCTGCCAACAATCCCTTTGCCCCAAAACCGTTTGGCAGCCCAACGACAACTTTTGGGGCACAGACTGGAAGCTCGCTCTTTGCAACTACATCCACTGGTGCCTTTGGCCAGCATCAATCCACTCCCGCATTTGGCACAACATCTACTGGTGCCTTTGGCCAGCAGCAATCCACTCCCACATTTGGCACCCCATCCTCCTCTCCGTTTGGGAGCTCCACACCAGCCTTTGGTGCATCCCCCACTCCTGCCTTTGGTGCCACATCCTCTGGTATGTATTATGCATTCTCTATTGCTTTCCTCTCTTGCTGGTTCACCATGCTGATCATACCAGGTTGTCAGAGGAAGCCACTTTCTAGATTGTCTAGTTAATGATGCCAGTTTTATGCGTAATTGTTCTTTTTTGTTAGGAAACAATTATCTTCTTACAAATTGGAAACAGCATGAGCCATTGGCAGTTTTGCCCATATCTCACAAGTTTTATTTATCTTTGCATTTCTCTGCATGCTACATTTGTTGTAAGTATCTACTCATGTGGAATCATGCCAGTTTTTACTAGGTTGGCCTAACAAGATCTGCTGTATTATGTGTGATGTCATATCTCTGCTTCACATGTTATAGGATCTTTGTTCGGACAGAAGCCAAGTTTTGGGGGTTTTGGGTCATCTCGTAGCCAGTCAAGTCCTTTTGGTAGCACGTTCCAGCAAACACAACCAACATTTGGCAGCAGCACTTTTGGTTCATCAACTACGCCTGCGTTTGGTACCACGACTACGCCTGCATTTGGCACAACTACGCCAGCCTTTGGCACCACAACTACACCTGCCTTCAGTGCATCGACTACCCCAGCATTTGGTTCAACATCAACATCTTTATTTGGTGCTTCTAGCACACCAGCATTTGGTTCTACAGCCTTTGGTACATCTTCTACTGGTTTTGGAACTTCAGGGACTACAGCATTTGGTGTAAGTAGTACTACTCCAGGTTTTGGATCTTCAAGCACACCTTCATTTGGCACATCAGCTAGCGCATTCAGTTTTGGTTCTTCACCATCTTTTGGACAAACAACAGTTTCCTCTGGTGGCACTCCCTTTGGAACAACTCCGTCACCTTTCGGTGCACCAGCTCCTGCATTTGGTAGGTTTTCCCATTGGATGTTCACATTATTTTTAGCTACTTATGATATAACGCTCAGTGAATTATTGTCTGAGACTCTTAGTACATATGATGTAGCAGTTGATATTTACTGATTCTTTTGTTCTTTCTAACTCCAGCAGGCCTATTTTATTGCAAATCTCCCTTTTAAACTGTTTTTACACTAGCGAGGTCATCTTTTTTTACCTGTTTCACCAATTATTTGTTCTCTTTGAGTTTCAGGCTCACAGACAGCAGCGCCAGCTTTTGGACAACCACAATTTGCTAATCAAGCTGGAGGAACCAGAATAAAACCTTATTCTCAAACACCAGATGTTGACAGTGCTACTAGTGGTGCTCAGCCTGCTGCAAAACTTGATTCCATATCAGCAATGCCTGAATACAAAGACAAGAGTCATGAAGAATTGAGGTGGGAAGACTACCAGCGTGGAGACAAGGGTGAGGAAAATTATTTGGGGATGAAGGGTTTTGCTTGATTTGCAAACACTCTTTAAACCACATCTTTAATTCCATTTATTATTTTGTCCTTCTTGTTTGTATGAACTGGAGTAACCATTATCTTATACCCTGGCTTAGCTTGGACCCTGAATAGAATTGACAAATAACTGTTATTCCCTTTATTAATTGTTTATTATATCATTGCTAGGTTTCTTTTGGTACATGTACTTTTTTTTCTTGTGAAACATGTGCATCATTCTTAATATTTGGACTTGCAGGTGGACCAAACACTTCTGGAACTCCAGCAGTGGCACCTAGCTTTCCATCGTCAATGCCACAGAATGCTTTTGTTTCGACAAGCAATCCCAATCCATTTAACCAGCCTGCCACAAACCCATTTTCAACAAACAATCTATTTGCTCCTAAGCCTGCTTCAACTATTACTTCACCATTCAGCACCTCATCATTTAACAATGTATCAGTTGCAAGTTCGAGCCCATTCACATCATCCAGTAGTACCACAATGTTTGGGCAAACAGGTGTTTCTACATTTCCAGCAAATAATTCGCCATCATTATTTGGAAATACCAATCCTGCTCCTTCTACATTGTCATTATTTGGCACATCAATGATTTAATAATTCAAGTCCATTCGCACTGGCTCATCGTTGGCTAACACTCGGTCAGCCCCACTATTTTCATCAGCATTTGCTCAACAGACATCAAGTACACCGGCTTTCTCCTCTGGGAACCTATTTGGGTCAACTAATCCTGGTGGTCTGTTTAGCAGTAGCGGTCCTTCACTTTTTCCAACAGTAAGCATCCTTTGTCTTTGTCCTTATATTTTATTACTAGATTCTTGTTATCATTTCTTATTTGTTAGTACTTAATTTATTTTGCTTCTAATGATTCAGTCAACATTTCAGCCATCTCCCCCTGCTCAAACTTCTAACATATTCTCCTTCCAACCTGCAATTCAACCAGGTCAGTATTTTATATTTAAACCTCTCTTCTTTTTACAATTTATCTTCAAAGACTAATTTGGGCTTAACTTATGTTCAAATGCATGCCTGCATGGATACAGCAGCTTCTACAGGTGTATTCCCTGGTTTTTCCAACACTACGAATCAGGCCTTGATGGGACAGCCGTATGATCTTCTGCTACTTTTCAAATGCACATGATTATTCCTTTCCTATTTAGTAATTTCCTTTCGATGGATTAAAACACTGATTAGTTATAACAAGGTTAAGGAAAAATAATATTATGATCAGTCTAATGTGGACAATGGTGTAGGCAAAGAAGGGGAAAAAACTTGATGGTTCATGGGGACTAGCTTATATTTAATGCCGTGAGACTGCCGATTGTTATTTTATATCTGTAGTCTAAGAGCATGGTTTTGGCATAACATAATTCACAAATGAGTTTTGGCAACACATATTATTCCTCTTTTTTTTTTCTTTTGCCTAAGGTAATACATTATTTAGTTTAACATGGTGTATCCTGTTGCATTTTACACAGAACTCCTAGCCAGTCCAGTATGGTCATGCAGCCTGCTCCTGTTTCAAATCCATTTGGGACGCTTCCAGCAATGCCTCAGATGTCCATTGGGAATGGTGGATCTTCACCTTCAGTTCAATATGGAATATCAAGTTTGTCGGTTAGTTTTGTTTCTCCTTAGCATTTCTAATTGTTTATGTAGCAGGTGGACAGTAGAGATAGGAGCAAGATGGTGGTTGTTGATTAGGAAGGTGTACTAAGGGTGCCATAAGCAGGCACCACATGTGAAAGGGGTTTGCTTGATTGTAACTTCTTACTGTCTTGCAGGTTGCTGAGAAGCCTCTTCCAAGTAGATCATTGTCCATGGCGGTTCCTAGGCATTTGTCACAGAGAAGGATAAAACTGCTCCCGAGAAAATATAATCCAATATCTGATAGCAAGGTAATGAATGACCTGACCTGTAAGAATAGAATAATTTTGTGTGCAAAGTTTTGCTTTATGTTTTGTTCATGGAGCTTTTTGAGGCCATTGAGAAAGCATTGAATGATTGAACAATGATTGAACACGTTGCTCAGTTGCTTCTATTGTTCCTATAGGTTCCATTCTTTGCTGATGATGAAGAATCTCCAACAACACCGAAGGCGGATGCTTTTTTCATCCCTAGAGAGAACCCAAGGAATCTGGTAATTCGTCCAATTGAGCAGTGGCCTTCGCGGAGAGAAACTGACCGGCAATCGACTTTGAAGAATGCCACTGATTTGAACAAATATGAAGGTAAATCTTTCCATCACAGTACTGGAATTTTCATATAAATATTGTCCCCAGATAGGGCAAATGTCAGTTACTGATCTCATTAAGTTGTGCAGATGTTTCCCCTGAAAGTGAGCGTGGTAAGTCTGCCATGTCACCAAGCATCAGGCCTCCTGCAGTGGAAAATGACAATCAGCATGAGGCCAGGGCCATGGTTCAGCATGGGAATGGAAATGTTACTTCAGTCGAGAGGTTGTTGCCTAAGCTTCCACGTGCAGATTACTTCACAGAGCCTAGTATAGAGGAGATTGCGGCCAAAGAACGTGCGGAGGCAGGCTACTGTGGCCGGGTGAGGGACTTTGTCGTGGGGCGACATGGCTACGGTAGCATCAAGTTTCTGGGGGAGACGGACGTGAGGTGCCTGGATCTGGAGTCAATCGTGGAGTTCAACAACCGGGAGGTGATTGTGTACAAGGACGACAACAAGAAGCCCCCTGTGGGTGAGGGGCTGAATAAGGCCGCGGAGGTGACTCTACTGAACATCAAGTGCGTAAACAAGAAGACCGGGGAGCAGTACTACGAGGGGGCAAGGGTGGAGAGGTACAGGGAGATGCTGGTGAAGAAGGTGGAGGAGCAGGGCGCAGAGTTTGTGTCCTTCGATGCTGCCAAGGGAGAGTGGAAGTTCAGGGTGAAGCACTTCAGCGCCTATGGGCTTTTGGTGATATCCTAAGTAATCCTGATGCCGGAGGAGTGAGGGATGGACGATGGAATGTCTTGTAGTTAAAGTAACGTTTTTTTTTTGGTTTGCTTTGATGGAGCAGTACGCTTTACACTCTTGTCAAATGTCATGCTGGGGTTCTGTTGTTCTCCTTTTGTGCAAAAAGGTCCTGTTCGCTTGAGCTTATCAGCCAGAATTAGACAGCTTGAGCTTATCAGCCAGAATTAGACATACTTTTCAGCCATGAGAACAGTGTTTTCCTCTCATAATAAATCAGTCCTACAAATCAGCCGCAACAGCAATAAGTCCTGTCGAACAGGGTCTTGAGTTGCTGCAAAATGCTTGCAAATTGAGCTGTGCTGCTGAAAACTGCAGCAGCAGCAGAATCCGCCATAAAAGTAAGGCGTGCTACTTATCATCAACTAGGATTGCCCATGCGCTGGTATAGGAGTTGAAAAAAATTCAACGAAATAATGAAAGTATACATGGACAAAACTCTGATGCGAATCAAATTTAAAGGATATTATGTTTTGGTTACGAAGCATATAACTTAGACAACTTTGTCAATGAAACTTTAAATGCAAGAACATCAAATATGATTATCTAAATAAATGATAACAGTATAGTATTTCAATTTCGGCAATCACCGCATCCAGCTAGCCCCATGGATTTCTCTCTTTAAATAAATGAATTCTATGGGGGACATAAGTGCTGCATTGCACATTGGAGTGGCCAAATTGACTGACTTCACTCCCCTATAGTACTGATCGTCACTATAAGATGCTCGTTACTTACCTTAATTGTACCAGCCTAGTTGCTAGTGGTGGAATAGAGTTCAGATGTATTTAAACATGCAATCAGTTATTAACTGATCAAAGAATTTAGTATAACTACAAGAACTAGTTAATCTGACGCTACTTGTGGGCATGTGACTCTACATCATGTTGAATCTTCCGTGGTGTTTTCTTTTTCTGCTTATACTTCGCATAAGAGTACCATACACCGCCAAATGTGTTGATCACCAGTCCAGTAACATTCAGAGCGTGCACTTCGACACCTCCAAACAGAACGAAACCGAGGGTCTGAAAAGCCAATGGGGAAAAACATGATATAAGATTTACTTATTAGTTCTAGAACTTCAGAGCTCAGTTGCATCAAGGGTTCCAATGAAAGGTCAAACTGGTCATACATAAATAGGCAAACTTACCGTAGACCCGACACCCTTGAGAACTCCTACTATTGTTGTAGTCAGAGCAGAATTCACAATTGTGCACCAGAACATAGTGAAATTGAGAACGATTCCCATCACCAATGAGATAATGAGAATAACACTGAATGTCAGAGAGGCTGCCTGCAGTTCAAGTGTCACCAGACAATGCAAGTTAGGAATGGAGACATACAACAAATAACTGACGTAGAAACTTTAAGAGTACTATTATGTTAATGAATAGCAGCGAAGTGTGAAACCAGTGGCTTCAGAAACTCTGGTGAACTAACTTTAATTGTCATTCTTGTTCTTGAGTTAAAGGGGTGAAACAAGGGAACATTCAGAGATTGCTAGCTTAAATGTGCTGGTTAA